TCTCCAAATGGCACCATCCAGCCGCGGGCCAAGGGAAGTCGCCGTGTTATCCGCGCCACCGGAGCGAAGGGACCCTCTATAGGAAATAGACTGGTAGGTGATTTTCGCTGGATCGGGCTCGGGCCAAGCGCGGTTCTCGAAGCTTTCGAAGACGATGTAGTTGGAGGCCGCTGTTCGGGCCGAGCTCCCAACCTTCAAGGCCGTCAAGGCCAAGGAAGGTGCCTCCGGTGCCTGCGGCTGTCCCGGCACAGCCTCCTCGTCCCTACCGACCTCCAGGTTGAAGCCGTCCAGGATGCCTTCGATGACGGTGTCCGGGCAACCACTCGTGAAGTAGCGGATGTAGCCGGCCGGATCTTGAGCTTCCGATACATTGCTGTAGCACTCATCGGTGGAGCCCATCTCCGTCCGGTTCAGGGTGGGACTCGACATGTTCGAGGCGTCGACCACGACACAGCAGCCTTGAAGGATCTCCAGACCCGCCAGGCGAGCCTGATGTTTCTGGAGCTGGAGGAGCCCGGTCGTCTCGTTGCCCTCACATGTGACGGTCCCTTCCGCAAGCTTCACCACCATAAGCCCTAGACAGGCTAAGGAGAGCATCTTGCTCGACTACACGGATGTGACCTGCGTCCGGCTAGGGACTTTGTGAGCTTGAGCTTGGGGCGTTCTCGTGCAGAAAAGCCAAGCAACAGCTGAGCGGGCTGCTGCTGCAGCATGCTGCAACGCTCTGCCAACTTCTGCCATCACTCAGCACGTTAGCGAAATGCATGCCGGGGGCACCTCTCTCTCTCTCTCTCTCTCTCTTTCCTCGGAGTGTGAGGCGCCTCGAGCGACATCGAGCGACAGCTACAACTTTAGAAGAGGGCCACGAAAGCTGGGGCCTAGGGGAAGTGCAAGCAGGACTTGATCTTGTTGCAGCACTCCATGCCGCACACGTGGAATGAGACGGTGCCGGTCGTCCCACATGTAGGCATCGGCAGGGACCTGTCTCGAAGACTTGGGGACAAAAAATCTGATCAGCTTCATGGTGCTGAATGCTGGCTACTGGTAGGGAAAAGCGCATGAGAAGAGCTTGGAGAGCCTCTCAAGTGCCTGGCATCCGCCCAGAGCTCCCCGTGCTGCGTTTGTGAAGCTCGAACCGAGACCATCCTGCAGCAGGTGTAGGGTTTCGGGTTTGTCCATGGCCACCGAAGACACCGTACAGAGCGACACCTCCCTACATCAGGTAGCTCAATTGACAAACAGCACAAAAAGAATTCGCCGATCTTCCGCCACACGTCAGGCCTTGTAGCTGGTACATCTTGGAACGTGTCCAACTCAACCTCCGAAGAAGGCTTGCAACTCCCAGTCCAGATCGCTGGGCTGATCCTGAGACACGTGTGTCCCATCAGAAACAGCAGCCGCTGTCTGCAGAGCAGGATGACGGAAGTTGCCGCTTCTGCATCCAGCCCTCTCAGCGACGAGGTCCTTCCCAGGAAGTCGGAGTCCAGGAAGCTCTGGAGGTCAGCAGGGCAGCGGCTCTGGGATCGGATGCATGAGCCTCGAAGCGACCCGCAAACCCGCATCTCTTACGCGGCAGGTCGTTAAGGAAAGCTTGAGTCTTGAGCTGCCGGCCTCGTACATGAGGGTCAAGTCAACAGCTGCTCCTCGAAGCGGCCAGCCTCCAGCACTCAGCGGCATCTCCCCGGTAAACCGTTGTGTGCTGATTCCTCCCCTTTTTTGGGTTACTTATGCTTGTGCTTCTTCCTCGCCTCCCAGATCCGTGCCGAGAAAGCAATCTCTTCCAAATCGTCTCGGCCTGAAGCAACGATGGGACAGGCACTCCGGTGGCACATGCCGGTGGAATTTGGTCGTAATGCTTAGAACTGGCACCAGGTCGGAAGCAAATGCACGGCGTCGCAAGATGCAGGCCCAACCCAAGTCGCACTCCCACATGCCTTGCTCCCTCTTTGGGGGACCGCCGCACATGCTTCATCCTCCTGCAAGGCGTCAGGCGAGGTCAGTTGCACTGCAGGTCGCTTCACTCGAACCTCGCCACCACAGCCACCACAGGACGGGAAGGCCATCTGCCTGCGAGGATGTCACGTGGCCCCCACCCGGCGCTACTTACCACTGGAACGGTCAAGTAAGATCTAACAGCCCAAGGGCTAATTCAGAAAGCATTCGCAGCTGCGCCCACAAAGAACTCTCGTCTCCTGGAGAAGCATAGCGAGCCCGTGGTGCGAGACGCCCTTTCGCCCGTCCTCCGCAAGGTCCCATGTCTCTGACAGGCTTTTGAGAGCAGCAAGCAAACAGATCCCGAGATAAAGTTGAGACTCTTATGTCGTCTTACGTAGGACCTGCGGAGTCTCATACACTCACGGACTTCAGAGCTGTGACGCTCTGAAGAAACCGCGAGATGATCCTCTTGTTCTCGGCTTCGTAGCGATCTGCATCAGAGTTAGCCACGACATGCTACAAACAAAGTGATGCAGTGGTGTTGCTCCCCGAAGATTTGAACTTCTTACAAAGTACCTAGGGGCGACGGGGTACTGTAAATGCGAATCACAGGCAGTGGGCAAGTTCACTCCAGGGCCCCTACTTCGGATGCAGCCTGCTGACTCGAGCAGCAGGTTCTTCTCCCGCTCCTTCGGCTAGTAGCAATGGATTTCAACGAAACAAGTCATCCCAATGCGACACGCTGAAATGCTCAACATGGTGCTGGCTTGATATGGGTTTTTTGTAAGGGTTTAAGAAGGGCTTACTATGGCCTCCGTTGTGCTGGCCCTTGTTGTGCCGGCCCTAGTTTTGCTCACAATCATGACAGCATCGTCCACTCCCCGTCTCCATCGAAAATCAACCTGCAGAACAAAACCTTGCGCTTATTAGGGTTCTTTCTACGAGCCCTACAATTTTTGGGGGGGTTAATAAGGCCAGGGTTTCTTAATGAACAGACTCTGTCCTGAGAAGCGAGCAAGCGAAGCACAGAAACGCTTGCCTCGTGGTTGGCTTGGAGCTCCTTCATTGCCTGAGTATCGAGGCAAGTCGAGGTCGCGAGGCATGGGGCTTCGAGATTGCGACGGAGTGAGAGAACACAGCCCTTGTCATCGACAGCAGCTCTGGTATGCCGATTCTCCAGACCCCGCCTTTGGGGTGGCGACCATTCTGGCCAGTCCTGAGAGGTGAGCCATCGTAAATGTGTCGGCATATAAACATACCCAAAACTATGCCTATAATACACACATATATATATATACCTATGTATGTACATATACATATTTACATACATACATGCATGCATGCATGCATGCATGCATGCATGCATGCATGCATGCATACATACATGAGTACATGAATACAAATAAACTTATGTACGTATATACAGATACACATATCTTGCCATGGGAAATCCGAGCAAATCCTGGCATGCTTTGCCCCCTGAGCCCCCGACACTACGTCTCGTGCTGTAGCCCTTGAGGCCATCGGCTGCTTAGGGAGGAGGCCGAACGCCTGACCCGAAACCCTGAAACCCCTAATGTAGGAACCTGGTTAAGAAACCCTGGCCCTATAATTATCCCAACAGATTAGGTTTCATATAGGGAACTCTAATAAAAACCCAAGGGTTCTTAATCAGGTTCTCAAATGTAGGAACCCAATTAAGAAACCTTGGGTCTTTACTGGGGTTCTTTATATGGATCCCAGCATCTGGGGATATCTGGGGCTTCTAGGACTAGGACCTGGGTTCGTTAATACCACACTAAACCCTAAACCCTACCGAAAAAACCTAAACACCCTAGACACCGTAGCGCTTCCAGGCTTGAGCCACCTTCCCGGGCCATGGCTGGCGAATTCTTTTTAGGGTTTAGGGTCTCGGGTTTAGAGTTCAGGGCTTCTTGGTTTTGGGTTTAGAGCTTCTTTGTTTAGGGCGTGCTTACGAAGTACAGGGTTCAGGGTTTCGGCCTTGATACGACCAGAACTGCTGAAACTGTGTATCCGCAGCTTCTTCCTTCCAAGCGCTGGCTTGTCGCGTGAAAATGGGAGAGGGTACAGAACCCATAACCGCGCCATAACCATGGCAGCGACAGGCCCCGAGGTCGTCGCCACGAAAGACTGTGGCAGGTCCCCGGAAGAATCTAAAAGCAAGTCTACCGGGTATACCGGCTTCTCACTTAAGGGGGATCGACTTGTTGGGTCCTCCTGCCGGCAATCCTCTGATGCTATACCCACACCCGATGCAAAGATCCAGAAACGAGGCTTCTTTTCTTTTAGCCCTGGAGCCGCACCATTTAAGGCTTCTGAGCTCATATAACCCAACCCAACAACCCGGAAACCCCACCAACCGACCCGGAAACCCCAAACCCAAAAGCTTAAGCTTTGCTGCCTTCTTGGTTCGAAGCCTGGCAAGACACCTGCCTTCAGAGGACCACGGGTTGGGATAAAAGCTTTTAGGGTTATAGGGCTTAGGGCCTAGAGTTTCGGGTTTAGGGTTTAGGGCTCAGGGGTTTAGGGCTTAGGGTTTAGGGCTTAGGGGTTTAGGGTGTGCTACACATCATGAAAAACAGAAGCAGCGCCCCTTCAGGGAGCTGCCAAAAACTCTGATCAGCACTCGGCAGCACGGATGGTGGCCGTGTATGGCTTCCTGCGTCTTTGAGTTCCCCTCAGGCTGCAGAGATGTTGAAGTCATCGGAAAGCGTCACGGCCACAACAATAAGGGCAGCCAGGGTGAACACAGAGGCAATGTACATCGGAAGGTAGACGATGCCTGTCCGAGCAATGTAAGACCCTAAGCCGTTGAAGCTGCCCATACTAATAGTAGTCGTCGCCGTCGTAGTAGTAGCAGTAGTAGTGGTAGTAGCAGCAGCAGTAGCAGTAGCAGCGGTAGTGACAAAAGCAGTAGTAGTATGTAGTGGAAGTGGTAGTAGTTGTTGTTGTCGTCGTCGTAGCAGTGGCAGTAGCTACTACGACTCACCATTGAGGATGTGACAGCTCCAATCTCGCCAAATAGTGTCACCACGACCCTGAAACTAAACGTCCAGGCTGCTCATCTGTCCCGCTTGTTTTTGTAAACCGGCTGAAACCAGGAGTGCCAGAGCAGTCTGTGCCGACGGCACTCCAGTTTGGATAACCAAGACCATGAACAGCATGGGCTGATCCTCTGGGAGGGCCCCGACGTTCACCGCGAGAACGAGCAAAGGGATCGAGATGGCTGGCATCAGCAGCAGCTTGATGAAGGCCGCACCTAGGGAGAGCCTTAACAACTGCGAGCCTTCTGAGGCTTCCTCTTCAGGCCTCTCCTCCAAATCTGAGGCAGCCGGGGCCTTCGCCTTCCTAGCACGCCTCCTCTGGATCTCAGCCCTGGCTCCCATGTAGAGTGAGCCCCCAAGGATCATCGTGGAGAGTGGGACCCCGGCGGGCCCAAAGTTGGAAGCGAAGGAACCGACAAAGCGCAGCGGCCCCTCGGCCCGATCGCTCAGAAAGTCTCGGAGGGGAGCCGCGCATCCCACGGCGATGCCTGCCAAAGCGCACCAAACGACGCTGTCCACGGCCCGCAGCTTACGGAGGATGCCTTCGGCCTCGGCTTCGGATTCTGCAGTCCCTGTCTGAGGCTTCATTGAAAGAGCGTAGGGCCGGCCGATGAAAAAGAGCGCCATCGTCCAAACCGTGGCGAAGAGGGAGATGACGGCAAAGCCTTCCACCAGGGCATCCTCTGGGTTTTCATTCACCCGTTTCCAATTGCTCACGATCGGAGGTAGCAATACATAGGGTAGAGCTCCACAGTTACCGAAGGTCGTGCTGAGAATCAGGATTTTCGAGTAGGGCGGCTGCAAGCGTAGGAGGAAAGCGCCCAGCTGCCCCATCAGCGCGCCTATGATCATCACGATGGCAGAGCCCACACAAGCCATGTACCATTTCCTGGGCTCTTGTTAAGGAGCTTCAATAAAGCTCCCATAATGGGGATCTACAGTAAACAAAGGGTTTCCTTGATATACACTAAAGGCCTTTGTGATCCTTGTGTTTTCTTCAACTGAACTACTCAACTAAACCCAAAAAACCCTAAACCCTAGGCCCTAACCCTAAACCCTAAACCCCTAAACCCTAAAACCTTCAACCCTAAAGCCTAAACCCAAAAACCCTAAAACCCTAAACCCGAAGCCCCAAACCCCTAAGAGGAGCCCCGGTTCCCCAGCATCTCCACAGAGTAGACCCTGAAGTTGGAGAATGCGAACACTGGGAAGAACACCTCCAGGTTCAGGGTTTAGGGTCCAGGGTTTAGGGTTCAGGGTTTAGGGTTCAGGGTTTAGGGTTCAGGGTTTAGGGCTTAGGGTTTGGGATTTAGGGTTCAGGGTTTAGGATTTAGGGTCTAGGGTTTAGGGTTGAACACTTTAAGGAACGTCCTCTAAGCTGGAAGCTATGTACTATATACTGTATATTCTATACTATATGCTACATCTTCTCAACTATATACTCTATACTATATGCTATATGTAATATGTTGTATACTATAATCCCCAAGCCCCTGCGATCCTGGACAAACCCTAAATCTTAAAACAACCCTCTAAACCCTAAATCCTAAATCCTAAAAACCTATAAACCCTAAATCCTAAATCCTAAACCCTATAAACCCTATAAACCCTACATCATAAACCCTAAATCCCAAACCCTATACCCTAAACCCTACATCCTAAACCCTATAAACCCCAAACACCCTAGAAACCCCAAATCCTAAATCCTAAACCTTCGGCCTCCAGGAGGACTTTGGAGAAGCTCTTCAAGTCTGGAGGAGATACGATCTGCCTTGGGTTTTGGGTTTATGGGTTCAGGGTTTAAGGTTTAGGGCTTAGGGTTTAGGGCTTTGGGTTTAGGGTTTAAGGTTTAGGGCTTAGGGCCTAGGGCCTAGGGTTTAGGGTTTAGGGTTCAGGGAGCTCGAGGGTCTAGGGGTAGGGTTTCGGGCTTACGGATTAGTTAGGGTTTAGGGTTTGGGGTTTAGGGTTTAGGGTTTAGGATGTGGGATGGGGCTTCGGGAACAGAGGGTGAAGGTCCAAGGCTGAGGGTCGAGGACTGACAAAGTTTTGAGGTTGAAGGCTGCTCTCGTGAAAAAAAACTTGCAAGTACTATGAGGGTTACTATGAGGGTTACTATAAGGGTTACTATGAGGGTTACTATAAGGGTTACTATGAGGGTTACTATAAGGGTTACTACGAGGGATTACTGAGTGTCGGAATTGCAGTTTTGAAGGGGGTCCTTGACGGCCAAAGTTTGGCGTTTGACGCCCGAAAATCGGGTTGGTCTGAGGCTCTGAGGAAATAGGCGAGACCCGAAGACAGACGAGATCCACAAACCAAAATCACGGCTGAGTTCGATCCCAAGAAAGCGTAGGAGCGAGTTGTGCATCATCGCCCGAAGCTTCCATCTCGTTAAGGAAACTTCTAATTCATCGGAGCAACTTGTGCATCGCATAAGCACCAGCACAACAGATCAGCAGCGCCTCCGAATTTGCATACACTGAGACCAGAATCGCCTCTGTGAAAAGCGTCATGGCCCAAGATACACAGGATGCCACGAGGCAGCCACCTATCAACCTATAGCTGCAGCAACACGTCTATGTCACATGCGTCTGTCAACCAAAACCTTTGTGCAGCCTGCGCATTTCGGATATCGAACTTCCAAGTCTCCGACATTATCCTTGCATGCTGGTTCACCGAAAACCACTGAACATGTCATGATTGTCGAGTGCTGCAGCCAGTCATGCGACGTGATGACACAAACTTTCACACCACTGCACGTGCAACAACAGTTTACAAGTGATAAGTTGGAGGTTTTTCGCGCACAAATGCGTATTGTATTAATGCTGAAACCGGGCCAACATTACAAATGTAAAACGTTCTTTCAAGCGCATAACCATGCCTATGTGCCGGGATGTTGACGACTGCTGAAGGGCCCAAAGCACAGGGTTAGGTTTGACCTCTGTGTGATGGTGTTTGTTTCTACAGTCGCATCAACCGTTTTCCGGGAGATAGGTTTTAGGGGTTTACTCATTACTCCATAGCAATGCTTGAAGTTTGAGGTTTGCAAGCGAGATATGGACATTAAGTACGAATCAAGCGGATTGCTTTTGCAAGAAGAAAGAGCTCGAACTGCCAGGGACTTTTCAATCTCAGGGTGCATCTTCCTGGCAAGGTCCCAGGCATGGTCCATGCCCAAGGACAGGTGTTGTGACTCGTTGCAAGCTGAGACGGTCAACTTGCACTCCGCAGCATCCGCCGTTTGCCCTCGTGATCATTGCTGCCTACACACGCAGTGACAGGCCACCGAGGTCAAAGTACGGAGCCACAAAATCCAAAGCCAGCGCGCTGTGGCGGAATGTAGGAAGTGGGCCGGTGCTATGTAAACGAGACAGGAGATCGTCGGTCAAGGCACATAAGGCCACACCGGGCACCGAGCCCGGTCCTCCATGAAAATCAACAGAGCTACCTCGAAGCCTTGAACCTCGAGCTGCTGCGTCATGTGTCCTGGGCACCGGGCACCCAAGCTCCAACCTGCCAAAATCAGCCTGTCCTGTCTCTGAAAGGCATCAGGCTGTCATGTGGCTCAGGAAGTGCATCCAAATGCAAGGGTAAGGTCCATGGTGTCTACGTTGTACAGGGTCGCCTGGAGATGCGATGCCAAAGCGGCAAAGCTGGTGCCACCAGGTCCCACCCTGCAGGCACCACCGAAGCCATAGATGCAGCCGCAGCTGCAGGGTGTCTGTGCCGCACTCAGGTGCCAGCTCTAGGAATGGCTTTTCCTTGGGCCTTTGAGAAGCCCCGCACAAAACGAATCTCACGCACCGGACACGGAACTAGGCTTGCAGCGCAAGGTTCTCGAGCCATGCGTGGCTTGCATTCCTTCCGAAGCCCCAATTTGTTCGGCTTCAGACAACATATGCCACGTCCGGGATCTGCACCGTGTGCCTGCTCTGGCTTCCGTTCATCCCGCATGCACTGTGCGGGTAGCTTTGCCTTCTTCTGCAAGTGGAAACCAGTGGCAAGCACGGGTCAAGTCTGCATCAGCGATGACAGCACAAAAAGCTGCGGTCTGCAGGCTCGGTGCTTCCTGGATGCGTTTACAACCAGATACTCCACTTTGAGGTGGTCGGCCCTTCGAGGAATCGCAATGCGCCCCGGCCTCCGCAAAAGCACTGGCCAAGCTCTACGCGGCACTGGTATGCTGTAGCTTTGATGTTTACACAAGACTGTGTGGATCAATATGTCGGCTAAATGATGCAGCTGTCTCAACAGCATGGCGCTGTCCAAGGAGCGAAATGCCGTGTTGTCGCCGCACAAGTGAAATGCTTCGAGTCAACTTTTTGGATCCTGAACACCCTCAGCCGCCGGGCCTCTTGGTCGAAGAGACCGGCGCGTGCCAAGTCTACAAGGGCTTAAGGCCTAGAAGGTTTTGGGTTAAAGGTCTAGGGTTTAGAGACCGGGCAACCTTTATTGTTCACGTTTAGGGGTTACGGCAGTCATCGGTTAAGACCGCAGCATCTGCAGGCAAGCCCTCGAAGCCAAATGCTCGCGGCCCAGGCTGAACGAAGGAAACTTTAAGCAGTTTGACGCAGAGATACAAGGGTGATGAACTCACCATGACAACAAAGAGCCTCTGTGTGAGAACTGAATTCCTAACCCCTCATGCAGAACTAGCTGGAAGCACCAAGAACTGTTGGTCACTGGCTTCGCTGGTTCTCGGGCACTAGAGCCGGTCAACTTTTGCCCATAGAAATCCGCTTCAACAAGAAGGCAGAAGAAGCTCACCATCTCCTGTTGCTTGTTGGAAAATGGCCCATGAACACCGACTTACGGTTGAGGGTTTAGGGTGTATTGTGCAGGCTTTGATTGTTTCAACATGGCCCATGAAAGTCCATGGAGCAGGGTTCGAACACAGTGCTTCATGTGGACATTGCTGCTGGCATGCTGTCTGACACACGAACCGACAGGCCAATGCGGTGCAATGATGGCAGAGAGCAGCGAAGGCTGCCGGATCGTGAAATTACCCAGAACACTGCAAGAGGCCTCGTGCTTTACAGTAAGTTTCGAGTTAAGGAGGAATCAAGCCTCACACGATCCCGGAAGACAAGCGGATGGGAGGTGGCATCGTGATCATCCGTGATCGAGCGCAGGCAGCTGCCGCATGCGTCCAGCACCGGAAGGAACGGCCTACTGTAGCGGGCGCTTTACAGTTGGGCCCTGCCTGAGGCAAGAACTAATTATGGCACAGAAGCGAGTTCACCGGCAAGAGTCGAGGGCTCATATTTGGCAGACCTCAACACGAAGCATTCGACCTTCGCAGATGTCTGAGCACATGCCACAGCTCGAGAATTTCTGGGGATTAGTTGGCCTGCTGGCTGCGGTGGTCATGGCCAAGGCGTGCCAGCAAGATGATAAAGTCAGCAGCAATAGCGAGTGCCGGGCCATGGCCAACACTTGCCAGCAAGATGACGAAGTCTGCAACAGCACGCGGTAGGATGTACACACCCGACGACTTCAATGTCGTCACCGCCGTCAGTCTGCTGGCTAGGACTGCAGCAGCTGCTCTGCGATTGCCGAAAGACTGACCCTGAGCCTCCAAGGAGCATTGTGGAGATGACACGGCCTCTATGCCTCCTGCACTGGAGCACTGCGACGGCTGGCTCTTTGTGGAGGCCAAGCACAAAAGCTAAGGGTGTCAGCCGGCAACTTGAAGGCTTTGGCCCCTTACAGCCGACTTGGTCAAGAAAAACTGGAAGTTCGTCTCACGCTGCTAGACTCTTGAGTAACAGCCCCCGCCCTCGCATAGCTACCGCCTGCTCCCATAAAACCGCACTATGATCGCTGTTGAAGAAGAACAACGAATGGGGTAGGCTGCAGACTGGTGCGGTAGGCCGTGGGTGATGATAAAGCTCTTTAAATAGGCAACGTTGGGGAGCGATTTGTCGCTGCACGTCTCTCGGGCGTGTCAACGAGTTCTAGCTGGCCAACAACATACGATGCTATACACCGAAACAAGCGGTGCCAAGGACAATGGACGCTGGTCAACCGAATCGCTAACAGAAGCTCGCCCCAGTAGTAAGCTTCGCCTGTTGGCCAGGTGCCAGTAACACGTACTGTCGGGACGCGAGCGAAGTCTTCCAGCAACAGCAAGAACGAGTGCCTCAATCGCTTATTTACAAACTTTGGTTGCATTCTCGTTTGTTGTGCAAATCTAATGCCGAGCGGCGGGATGGGGCTGATGTAAGAATCAATCAGCGCCAGTAATGAGCTGGCAGTGCACGCTCCATGTGATTATCTCGTTGTGCTGCGCTCATTTCTAGGGTCTCATAATCGCAGCAAAATATCGTAAGCAGAACGTCTCAGTCTCCGTGAAGCGCCTCATGATGTCTCCAGAAATCCGATTGCCCTCTCAAGCAGGAGGAGGCAGGAAGATGTCAGGATTTGCCTGCAGCATTCCGACACGAGGCGGCCCTTTTCTGATGACGTAGCATGCCGCAATGTGGGGACACGATATTCAAGGAGTGTGTCACGAGTTCACGTCTCTTCCAAAAGGTTAGGTTCAGTACACAGCACTCACTCATTCGATCCAGAAGTCCATGCGGACTAGCTCAGCAGCTCTGACTTCATTTCGCCTGCCTCTGAGCAACCGCGCAGCAGTGTCTTTCTGCTGCTTTGAGGTGTCTGCAGCAACATTTCGCACCTCTGACGAACAAGCCCAAGCCCCTCGCTGCTGTTTTCGCTGCTCTTCATCCTCTTGCTCCGACACAAGGCAAAATGTCGAGGCGCTGCCCTCACACAGCACCAAAAGACTCCGTAAAAAAGGTTGGGCAACCCCGAAAAGAAGCACGTGAAGCGATGCCAAAGGCCCCTTCGCCCTGGCAGGAAATCCAAGTCCAAACCTATAGGACTTGAAGTCCGACTACAAGTTTAGGGTTGTTTATAGGGCTTAGAGCCTATAAGGGCAGGCCAAAATTGCACCTGAAGCTGCAGCGGTGCTGCCCCCGGAAAGAGGATGCACATAACTTGTTTTTTTGAGATATCCAGGTCTGGGGGGGGGGGGGGGGNNGGGGGGGGGGGGGGGGGGGGAATTCCATCTTCTTAGGGTCGGCCTTTCGGAAGGCGGCAGGCGGTCCAACAAAGCTGCCAGCGCTTGCTCTTTGAAAGCCCGTGTCCAGGCGCAGGTGTGGGGGCTTGTGGCTTTGGCACAGAAGTAGATACGCTTTGGGGAGTTTGGGTCAGTGCTTAGACTTCGGGTTTCAGGTTCAACAGCAAATCCGCACTGGGAAAGTTTGCTCAAGTTGCACAGGCCTCCGCCCCTACACTCGGGCTGTGACTCGGGCTGCATGTGACTCACCCACACATGCAAATGAGACTTCTGAACGAAGCCGGGCGGCAAACAACATGTGCTCCTGCAAAGCTGCTAGAGGCTACTGTATGTGAGGCAGTGAAGAGCTTTGGCTTGAATACCTCGGCTGTTATCCGTGGGCTTGGGCTCTGAGATGCAAAGCCAAGCGCACAGGGATCCCCTCGT